TGGAACTGCTTCACGTCGGATGTTTTAACTAAATTTAACCTTTGTTCAAAGTGGCTTTGTTTAGCCACCAGAAGGCCTCAAAACTGGCAAAAGTTTTAATTCTTTCTAAACAATTAAAACTCTACGTAAATTTAAATGACATTTTAAATACTAGTGTTACTAGCACCGTTTTAAGATTGCCATTATGTCACGAATGTGTCCTAATATCAAAGACAGTCGTTGCGAACGTGAATTCATTATTAAACGCGCTAAAAAGAGATACAATGATGATATAAATGTCTTCATAGTCTCAATCTATCACAGACAACCGTTCCAATATTTTATGTGTATTAGAGTGAAAGAAAATGGAGGACGTTTGTTGGGTATTAATTTTAGACTGTAGTTTGACTAGCACATTTAAAACAAAACAGAACTGACACTCAGATTAAAAATTTGACAGTTGTTTGCCTGTACTCGCATTCTTCAACTGGGCACCTTTACGTTTAGTCCGACCAGACCTGTATATCGGTATGGCTAAATAAATATGGGAACAAGTTTTTCAAATATTTCAATGCCGAGTTGCTGCGTAGTGACCGCGCCTGGTACATACTATCAACTTCTTGGTTCTTCAATTGATATCGGAAAGACTATACCAAATCTCGAATCAAAATTTAAAAAAAATGTAGGACTGGAAGTAACTATTTGTGTTAATGAAAGGCATCCGATTGTTGTGGGAATTGGTTAATTGATGGTTTCGTTGTCACTAACTGAAATCTAGAAACAATACATTTTTAGAAAACAATTGCTGACCGAAAGTGAATACTAGAGTTACAAAAAATATTTAATTTTTGGAGATATCACTAAATTAACAGTTTCGAAGTATCTTACAAAAATTTTGAGAAAACAAAATGATCAACGGAACTAAATATTTGGGTTACAAAGAGCATCCGATTTCTGTGAAAATCTCACTTATAAAAATCTCGAAATAGAAAATTCCCGGGAATACAAAACAGCGAGCCAGAAGTGATTATTTGCATTATGAAAATTGTGACTTGTGGAAATCGGTAAATAAAGTAATTTTTTCAATCAATTAATGGCATCATTGTGAATCAAAAAAGATTCAGGTAATTTTTTTGAATTCTTTGAATCTTGATTTGGGCATCAAACTTGACTGAAATTCAGCTTGAATTATTTCGAAAATATCCTGGTAAGAGCATTGGTATAATCCACGGTTCGTAAACCAAAACAAAAGTGAAATCAATAACATATGAACACTATTTGTGAAATATACAGGGTGTCCCGAAATTCATGCAACAAAATTTAGTCATAGATTTTTAAGACAAATTTAGGGGACCTGTATTTTTTCTTGCACTTTTCTGGCACCATCTTTCGGAGTTACAGCCCCCTGAAATCTGCCCCTAAGAAGTCTTTTTTATATCTCAAAACCATGTTGTACGAGAATCACTAAATTTGGTACACAGGGGTTTTATGACGTGTGGAATCTCACAGTGCTACGCTTTTTGGCGAGAAACCCCCTTAAGACACTTTTTCGTGGCTCTCCTTGTCTTTGGAACCAGAAAAAATTGGTCGCAAATTTGATTTTTTTTTTAAATTATTAGAAAGCCATTAAATTTTTTTTCTAGTGGACTGATAATTTTTAAGAAATTTAAATATGCAACCAAATTTTTTTGGCTTCAAAGACAAGGGGGCTCACGAAAAATTGTTTTAAAAGAAAAGATTATTCTTAGGGGCGGACCTCAGGGGGCTGCAACTCCGAAAGAGGGGGCCACTTGGCAAAAATAAAAAATCGGGTCCCCTAAATTTGTCTTAAGAATCTGTGACCAAATTTTGTTGCATGAACTTCGGGACACCCTGTATAAGATCAATGTATTTTATAGAATCAGAAAAGTGGGTTAAAATTTTTTCAATGTCTTTTTATACTGATTTATTCATTTATGTATTACGCATGTAAAAATTCATTCCTATATTTATTCATTTTATTGATTTATACGTTGAATTCCATCATTAATAATAATAATAATAAAATGATGAAAATTTTATTATAAAGTCATAAAAAAACTGGAATATAATGGAATATAATAAACTTAATTATTAAATGAGCTCTGAACACCCGTTACATGGCATACGAGTCGCTAAGAACAGGTCACCATCATACTTTTCTCAAATTATCAAATTGACATTCTCTCTGGAAATGCATACATAAACCCTCTTTAGAACACACAATACAAAACTATTCCTACGATATTTTCATATGAAAATATTTTCAAGATTATCATCCATTGAACCGTTTTCAATTCGGCAGCTGAAATAGACGATATTTAAAATATTTTTGAGCACGAAATCACTTCACACCTCACTAGTGTGCAAAAGGTCTAGTTTTTCTAGCTACTGGAAAAAAAATATATTTTTTTTTGGTTTTTGCTGAATTTTCATGCAATGTAGCCCACTGTGCACCTGTTCAATTTTAATTATTTTATGAGAAAGGTTGGATCCTTTGTCAAATTTTTTCTCGTAAACTTTTTGGATTCCTACCGTTGGTGAATACTAATAAAATAATTATTTACTTAAAAACCGTAGGAATATAAAAATTTAGAAGAGAGAAAGAAGTTGTAAAATCAAATAAGAACTGAAAATGTAAGGTCACTTACAAAAAAATAGCATATTTGAATTTTTGTCCAATTCAGTCTGTACCACAAACAAAAGTGGCATACCAAATTGCATTTAAATCGACATTTTAGAGCTATTTTGAAGAAACTAAAACTTTTTCCATCTTGGATACCTCCTTGTGGTTAAGTAAGTAACTTTGTATGGAAGAAAATTTAGTTATTTTGTCTTATTTTATACCCAGGAAATCCATGAACACGGAATATTGGGAACATTTTCTGATGAGAAATTTATTATAAGGAGCATATCCAATTACTGCTGTTACTATCATTAAATAGTAATTAAAAAATGTTACGGAATAAATATTTAAGAAACGTTACTCTTTGTAATGTCATATATTTAACAATATTCACATTGCATTGAAAAATATAGTGAAGATTGAAAATACATGAAAATATAGAATATCCAAAGCCAAAGATGTGGTTGTCCTATACTTACATGGATTTAACTTGTGTTATTGATTTGAGTGTACTTTATCAGTAATTTGTAATTATCTAGCAGCTAATATTTATAGCCAGTCGTTTCATCTTGAACATATTCGAATTTATTTTTAATTTAGAGCAGTTTCTAACTTTTAACAGTTAAACAAACATTAAAATTTTTAGAATAGCAATTTGTACTCGAAAACTTGTTATAAATCTACTTCTTTTTCTAGTCAAATACTTAGGTTAATTTTATATAGAACGTAATATGTAGATATAAATTATTAATGGGTATTTCTGATTTGAACTTTTCAATAAAAAGGATTGTTGGTGATACATCTTTTCATTTTGATGGAAAAAATAAAGCCGATAATATAAATATTTCAAAAGGAATTTTTTATATTTTTCTGATTTTGGTCATTTTTGTAAACCTCTATTTAAGATTGGCTGTCTCATTTATAGTTTTGTAAAATCATGTAGTTTTAATTTATATGTGCCATATCTTAGATGTGTAGAAATTATATTTTAAATGGTTTCTCTAATTGCTTTGTATTTTCACATTGTTTTGAATATTTAAAATATATACTTTTTCCTTGAAATAGTTTTTAATATCAGCATAGTTTGGATAAAAAAGCATGAAATAATAATATCTACCCCTCATTCTAATCGCAAGGAAACCAAAATATACATAGTATATACTCGACATACCCCTCTTTAACATTTATATGGATATATGGGTTATCTGATAAATGTCATATTTGACATTCACATAAAAAGACATAGTTAATCCAAATCGAGCAGTTGCTTTGTTGCCAGACTGCCACTTTTCCAGATGTAGCAGGAAAGTTAAATTTTGTTTATATGTTCCCTGTATATTTTTATTTATTTGAGCATAACTTTTTCTTCTAATTACAGTGTTATTATCCAACATCAGGGATCTGATTCAAACTTGATACATGATATAAGGGCATGGGAACTAATAAAAATCATCCCCAAAACATTTTATTCCCGACATCGGTGGCATTTTAGTATATGCAACTTTTTTGAAAATTTTTTGTTTGTCCAGGGATTTTTCAATGAAAACGCTAATTTCTGAATTATCTATAGTGGTTTAAGGCTTTCACAGCCCGTGCTGATATTTAAAGTACTATGGTTTTTCGAGTTATGCCGTGGCCTATGTTCTAATCTCCACCACTTACAGAATTACATTGTAAGTTGTCAGCTTTAGCCAGAAATCTTTGAATTGTTTCGTCATTCTTGGGCTAGGCTGTGTAAGGGTCGAGGCGGGGTCTTAAGCCTGTCCTAATGTTCATTTTCTTGTCGAGTCTAAAGCCGCAAGGAATGGAACTGCTTCAAAGACAATGATGGTCCGCTGAAACTTTCCATGGTGGTCTATGTAACCTGGCCGCATTGAAAGCTTCTAAACGTTTTGCCATTCTTAATAGCTGACATCTTCAGTGGTAACTCAGATGCAAATACTTCAGCTCACTCACAGCGAAGAGTATTGATTGAACAACTCGCTATGTGATATTGTTTCGGAGGATATTTAATAATTTGAACGTTTTATGGAAAGTTATACATCAGAAGGTAACTTGAAATGGGATATTCTTGAAAACGTCTTTCCAAATCCTGTTCCAACTATTATTATGTAGTAAGAGAGGTACTTACCAAGTAGGTATATATTACACCTAATGCACTAGAGGACAAAGACTATTGAATATACATATATCTAAATTTAAGCTTTTAAATATATTTTCATAGTTGGATATTATTACTGTTATTTACAGACTAGGTAATTAATAGCATTGTGACAATATTTTCATTTTAAGTAGGTAGAAAATGAAAATAGTTACTCATAAGTAGTACGATTTTATTAGTTACAATGCAAAATAAAATGTAAATGATACAACAAAATATGTAACAAATATTTAATTTAAATATTTACAACTACTCATTGATTTATAAAGGAAAATAAACCCACGATCACTTTAAAAGGCAGTATTCTAAATTAGTTAACTTAGAAGAGCTCCTACTTAGCATTTTTTTTATCCGCACTAGGATTACAACCCCGAAGTGTCTCATTAAGGTCTTTTTCACAGTTGGAATATGCCATTCCAATTCCGAATCCACCACCCATTAAAATTGGCCATCTTCTTCTTTTAAAAAATAAAACTGAAAATACTGTTCCTAACACGAGACCTCCTCCTAAAATTTGAATAATATAGGTTAAATCGATGACATAATCCTATTTCATTTTACGAGATGAGTATTCATAATATTCTGATGTAAATTTTTAACTTTTGCTGTACCAATGATCTTACCGAATTTAAGGAGGCCATCTGAGAAGCATTTGTCCCATTTTCGACCTAATTCTTCTTCGACATATACTTGCGTCGCCATCTTCTTTGGGTAGGTCGACAAGTGTTACAAAGTTTATTTTCAGATTTAAGAATTTTACCTGTTGTTAATAGATGCGTAAGTATTCTTAGGAATGATTGTAGGTTTTTAAGTTTTTTATATGATAAACATGGTAAAAATATATATTTTTATTTTAGATGCATTTTTATGTTCCCTTTGACGCCTGTCAGAGGCGGCAATATTTGAATTTTTTTAATGTCCATAGTTGTATCGAAAAAATTTTCAAGTTTCATCAGTAACTGAAATCTTTTCTTTTATTAAACTGTTTTTTAACTCGCGCCATTAT